TGAGAGGGAACGCCTATTAAACGCGTTCAAGAGCGTGCAGAAGCTCATTTCTTCTCATGTGCTCTGTTTAAAAGTTGCTTTTTGCATTGTTTATACAAGCTTACTTTTCAAAGACGATTTGCAATTTTTCCCCTCTGTCAGACTCACCACCGGTAAGTGAAAGTGGGGACGAGCACGTAGGACAGCCTTACGTAAAAATATCACCAGTATGATTGACAATTAGGAGGACCACTTATTTAGATGATCCAGCCACAACAAGAACATCCTCCACTATAACTTTAAGCTTTATTTAACCATTGTAGAGATCATCAACCTATTACTGGACAAATGAATCATATTATGTAAGGTTGATCTTACATCTTAATAGATTATTTAACACTGGGAGGTTGTTCAATTTGAAAGTGGTTATTTACTGGTCTGCAAATGATCCTTGAACATAGAAAATGAAAATCATCTAAAAGTAAGTGACACAGAAACTTAACTGCAACTTTTAAAGATGTTGGGAACAACAAACAGTTTAGTCATTGAGAGAAAGAAAGTAGAGAATCATAGTTTAATTTTACAGGTAAAAGCACTTAACCAACACTCAAGGGAAGGGCTTTTAGAGGTTTATGTTACTAAGCGACAATTGGAAATTAATTTAAGGTGAAGCAGCAAGCCACTTACACCTAAAATATTAATGACTACTTTACATTTAGTATCAAGGGAACTGATATGTCAAGCTTTTAGTTACCGAAAAAATACTGCAAAGGCATTTGTTTCAAATAAAAATGAAAGTCTTTGACGCGACAAATTAAGAAGAAACACATTTTTAATGCCCTATTTTCAAACAAATCTTTTAGCAAGGCATACGTGTGTAACAACTGATAAAGCAGCTGAGAACTATATCCATATTTTAGATTGCAACATAACTTTTCATATTACAGGAAGAATCTTTTGAACAAAATAACCCTATTGTCAGCACATCCTGTACAGTCATCAGATCACCAAAATCTAAATTGCCTTTTGAAAATTCTTTTTTTTTTTTAGATGTGCAATTTTTTTCTTTTTATTTAAAGAATAGAGTACAGTTTACTTCTATCAATTGTTTGCGAAGTCATCCTTCCCACACCTTTTTATCAGCAGGTTATATCTACATGCCCTTTATTTTCTCTTTATGTCTCTCTCTACTTTGAGGGATATTAAATGATCACTATCTTGTCTTGCTGTTTTTCAAACTTTTGTCTTTTTCTGCCATTCTGACCTTGCTTTATTAGAACTTACAGCTTCATTTGGCCCCCCAGCCTCCTTGATATGTGTTATTTTTTTCTCTCTCTTTCACCTAATCTGAGTCTTACTCTATCATTTATAAAGATGATTTTAGATGTGCTAAGAAGAATAGTTATTTTTGTTGTCGTTTCTTGTAATTAAATGATAGTTAATAAAATGATTAAGGCAATTTTAAAAGAACTGAGCAGGGTATAGGAAGAGCAAACTGACATGGATACCAGTTTTAACTTTGAAAAAATAAAGCCTAGAGAAAGAGAACAAGAGAAATTGCAGGAATATATAATGCTGACAAGATGAAAATGAAGGAATGGGGCTAAAAGTATTAGTCATGTTTTAAAGGTTGTTTTACTCACACAGCCAGCTCCTCTCTTTTCCCCCTTAAAATAAGATAATTAGATAATATGTACTTGAAATCAGACAATGAAATTGTTTTTTTTTTCTTATTTGAAATGTAAATGATCTTGTTCCATTGGCAAAGTGTCTCACTTACCTTCTCAACTCAAGGAAAATGCAAATATTTGAAGAAAGAAATCACTTATTTAGATTTTTATTTTTTGCAGTGCAGCAGCTCGACTAACACATTAAGATGGTCATTTCAAACAAAAATATTACTAACTTATGTTTATGCCACAAAAATACAAAACTAAAAAAACAAAATTTTAACTAAAGGAAATGAATTTGAAAGTGCAGCTATGCAAATTTTTGACAGGTTTCCATATTAAAGGAATACACTTTATTGAAGATATGGTTCAGAAATATCATTAGTGATCTAAGAAGATATCTACTTATCCACTGCTGTTGTAATCAGGGTAATTTTCATACACACAAACCAGTGTATATGCTTATATTTGAGAAGTGTTCTCTGATTTCCCCTGCATTTCAACTGGAATATGCAGATTATACAATAAAAATAATTAAGTTGTTGACTTAATGTCTTATTCAACATATCCCATAATATATCAATTAGGAATGGGTACCAAAATCTGTACTTTTATAGTAATCAACTGGATTCCATCGGTACTACTAAGTACTTATTTAGTTGGTCCAGTACCTCAATGCAACATTGTGACATCGAGGGAGTGTAAGAGTGTAAGAACATACCATGCATGATAACGTCAGAAGCCACTTGTACAGTAAAAAAAAAAGCAAGCTTGACTAAAAAAAAAAATGGTTGAGCGTTTGGTTCCACTTCAAAAGATGCATTCTACACTCCCTGCAATATTTGTTACATGAGGTGCAAGACCAGCAGAGGGTAAACTCCTAATCTGAGTAGCATCTGCTTAAAGTTCTACTTTTCCGGTTAGTAGTTGATTTGTTTTTTTTTTTGTTTTTTAAAAACAAACTAATATTAGTACCCACCACACCAAATATTTTAGCCAGTGTCTGAAATCATTATGGGTCTGGGATACTGGCCTCCTTCACAGAGTCTTCCTCTCTTCCTGTCCTCTGTGCTCTGGTGAAGATGGTGAAGAGAGAGCCAACAACTCATCACACCACCATCATCAATTGGACAACCATGTTTGTTTTGCCAGTGTTAGTCACAGTCGTCATTGCCTCCAGCCGATCCCCCACCCATCTTGGCGTATTCCACATCTTTCTGGATTATGCCTTCAAGGGTGGTATTTTTCAAATATGACATGTGAGCGTCAGTCGGCTCTGAAGAGAAATAACTTTATCAGACTGTACTTTAGGTGTAAGATTGTTCTAAATCCAAAAATGGGCTCAATTTCCAACAGCTACAGATCTATGGCTTCAACTCCTTCATACAGCCTTCAACAGTGAAAGACCATCATGTTGAGCCAGCAACATGGGAGAGGCAGCCACATCATGCTCTCGTCTGAAGTTTAATGTGCAACATTGTTACCTATACTAAAATAATTGACTGTTAAAAAGGAGAATCTTAAATAAGACGCAAAAAAAAAAAAAAAAAAAACAGATAATGGGCTGAATGACAGAGAGGAGAGAAAGTGAAGGTAAATAGACATTATTGAGTATTGGAATGAGATAAGAGCTGCGTATAAAATTTTTGTATCTATCAATGAAATCTGAAACATTGAAGATTGAAATATTTAGGATTATGCTTACATTATAGGATACAGTGTGTTGTTAGTGGAATTCTTGAAATATTTGCTCTCTACCAGTGTGGAAATTCTCCCACATGTTTTTTTTTAATGCGTTGAGATAAAATATAAACCCTTTCAAACAAAAAAACTCTAGCCAAAGTTGTCAAGCATTTCAATACATATATGGAATAGGGTTGTTTTCAGCTTTTTGGGGGTTCTAAATAAATACAGCTTTTGGGTGAAGATTTAAAAAAAATGAAATAGAATTACAGATGAAGAACTGATAAATGTCATTAGCTGCATATTTTTATACATGCCTTTAGCTTTATGAAGCACATTCCTTTACTGAAGTTCATTATGCAAAAGATTCAACTAAGGATACAGCTCACAGTACGTTATTTTAACAACGACATTAGCTTATCTGTCATAAGAATTAATTGTTTAAATAGAAAAGCACTGTTTTCTAAACAGAATGTAATTAATCTTCCCTGGGACTTCAGAGTAGCATTATAGTGGCAGTATAAAAGTTTCTGTTCTCACTGGACAGAGAAATATATGCAAAATGACGATACTGTGATCAACATTTCTGGCATCTGTGTAAATACTCAACAAACTCTAGCATGTCTGCTCTTTAGGGCAAATTATATTCTTGCATACAATCACCAATACCCCAGTAAAGAACAAACACACATTAAATAACAAAAATAAAATTACATAGCAACATATGTGAATGATATTTCTTTAACTTTCTCTAAATACGCATAAATGGGTCAATATTTCATGTCCAAAAAATCTTCATACAAAAAAACAAAAGAAAATAATAGGACGAAAGATGATAAAACACTTTTTATTACACAGTAACAGAAAAGCTTCTGCCAAATAAATATATTTTAAACATGAATGAAGAAACACAAACAAATGTTACAAAATAAAGTTTAATTGTCACCAGCTTGTTTTGGATATTTAGAGTTTACGATTCATAGATAAATGGTTATCGACACTATAATACTAGTTTCCTATTGGGGATAGTGTAAGACCAACCCACCACTGCCCACACATCCAAGACGGATTGATAATAGAGTAAGTTAGGTTTAGGATTAGGTTGGTGTCTGGTTTAGCCCAGAGTGAAGGAAAGGCAAAAATGGCCTCCTTTATCACGTTTAGAACAAAAATATTAGACTCTGTTAAAGATAGACTGATATGAAAATGTCCTTCTTACTGAAGAAAGATAAAAAATATAGACAGGACACATCAATACATTATTGTGGCAAAGTTATTCTAATGAAGCTTCTTATTATAGCTTCACATAAATATAGATCAGAGTTTAAGATGTTATTCAGTTCTTGATTAAGAGTTTTCTGAATTCTTAGGACAATACAAAGTCACTTTTGGCTGGGAACAAAAAAGTGTGTGTTTTTTATCGTACAAAAGACAGACTGAATTTGATAGCTTTAAATAATTAGGAAATTGTGGATATAAACTTTAATTTCGATGATTCATAAAAAATAGATTTTTCAGTTTCTAAGAAATCGAAACTTTAGTTTGTCTGATCATCAATATTTAAACATTCTTTTAGTGGATATTTCTCAGTGTATTTCCTTCCTAGAACTTTAACACATGTCCAAGCACCATCTGTTAATCATTATGCAGAAAGGCAAATGTTCTTACCTTCATATACAGCTTTGAAGCCCTGTGCACTCACTGCAAAGTCTGTTGTAAACCACAGGGCTAGTACGGAGCCACTGCTGACAATGGGCGAGGGCAGCATGAATCCTGACAACCTGTAAACAGAAAGCAGTGTAATTATGAATAATGCATTTCTGCCAATTTGGAAAAACAACAAGCAGAAGACCTTCTAAAAAAAAGCTGAAAATCTTCAGATATATTTAAAATGTATGACAGAAAAAAAAGTTTGTTTTTGTTTTACTCTTTGGAATGATGCTTTTATTAAGGGTTTTATAGAAGTGAAATTCAAGTCTAGGAACCATTTGAGGACAAATATAATTTCCTAGATTAAAATGGACCTTTGTCATAAGAGGATGCAATTTTTGAGTCTAGTCATTTACACTGAACTCATAAAATCTTTATATTTTATGAATAAGTGGTTTTCATTAAAAATTTTGGACTTCATAAAAAATAGAGTTTTATCTACTTTTTTATAGTCTAAAATCCTGTACAATTTAGCTATTAAGCCTAACCAAACGCAATAATTTGATATTTTGCAGTGGTTTTGCTCGCCAGGCAGAAAAAGGCTTCACTATGTCAATGAGTCCGCTGGTTGAAGGTTTCATCTCAACATATAAGACAGGGATTCTATGGAACGAGTCATGGCAGTTTATTTACTTTGGAAAGCTGAACAAATCTGCTACCCTCCCTGGATCCAGCAGATCCCCCAAAGATACCCAGTATTCAGGAGTCCGGGAGCCAGGGCTGGATGACAGCTTTCCACCATGTCAGGTGAGAAGAGAAGGTTTAGTTGAGTTCAGGCTACAGCAGCAGGGAAATCAGAGCAAGAACCGTAGCAGAGAGAGTGCCAGAACTGGGACGAGGCTGATGACTATGCCTGCCTCTGTTACTAAGGAACCACATAGGGAGATTGGAGGAGGAAAGCAGTATATAGTAGAAGCCTGGTGGGCACACAAAGCGCCAAAGTGGGGGAGAGCCGGCAGCTGGCCAGAATAGCTCTGGAGGCTAAAAGTGGGGGACTTGAGGGTGACAGTGGTAGATCGATAAAACCATCAAGGCAAACAGGCCTTCAGATCGGTGATAGGTGGCAGATGTCTGGAACTAGCTCTGAAGGCTAGCAGCAGCAGATCTGAGGAAAACAGCAGTATCAGAGAAGTCAACTGGGCAGAGTGGACCAAAGCAGGGAGAGGTTGTGATGGCTGGCTGTTAAATTAATTATCACAAGTGGTCAAAAAATTGATCACAACTGAATTGAACCATAGTCCCCTGCTGTCCCCCGAGTTACTTTAATTTTTCAGCAAGTAGAGATTATTTACACAGATTACAGGTGTAAATCAGGTCATAACTCTTCTAGATTTTGTTTGATTGTTTAACTTCTGTGTTTTATTTTGGTGAACTTACCCTACCTGTGTTTCAGGCACTAATCTCTATTTATTCACTGGATTGCTGATTGGCCGTTGGTAATACAGGGTTTAAGTAAAGCCACCGGCCGCCATTTTGGTACTCCCTTAGACCGATCGCAATGTAAACAATACGTGCTCTACAGCATTGAACAAAGATGTGTTATGATTCTGGCCTGTCTGCCTGCTCTGCTCTCCCTGTGAGCAATCATCTCCAGCTGCTGCCTGCTGCACTGCAGTGCAATCAGCAGAATGTCTCTCACCTGTGTTCAAGCATTTATAAGACAGCCTGTGGCAGGCAGACAGGGCCAGATAATTGCAAACCAACTAGCAAGCAGTATCCAGCACTTAAAGTTACCTGACCAAGTCTTTGCTTCACGGATTTTCCCTTTTTGCCTAGCCCTTTTTGGATTTCTCTGCCCTCTGGACAACGACCCTGTTTTTGCCTCTTGACTTCTGCCTCCTGCCAAGCTCCCTTTTCACTAAAGCCTGAGTCTAACTTCCTGGACCTATTCCTGCCTCTGTGCTCCAAGCCACCCAACTGTTGGCCACCCAACAACAGTTTTAAGGAGAAATCTGCTCTATTCATGCTGCTGAAAGGAGGACTCTTTTAAGAAATGCCTGACCCACGGTGGATGTGCTCCTGATGTCCTAAGTTTTTAATAAACTGTTCAAATCCTTATTCTGTGTTCTGGCTGAAACTTTGGGTCTTCTGACTGGATCATTACAGAATTATCTGGCCAAAAAATGGACCCCTCGCCAGCACAGCAGTGGCGTAGCAGTGTGGATAATTCCATCGCTCGTCTTGATGCAGGAATGAATGAAATTATTTCCATGTTACGCACCTTGTCTCCTGTCTCTGTTCAGGCCCCACCACAGCCAGCTGCCATTAATCCCCATACCGTTTCTACCATGGTTAAGGAACCAAAGCTGACCCCTCCAGAATTATTTAAAGGTGACCCGGATCAGTGTCGAGCCTTTTTGACTCAGTGTGAGATACACTTTGAGTTGCAACCATCCTCCTTCCCTACTGAGCGCTCCAGAGTGGCATTCGTCATTTCACTATTGTCAGGTAAAGCTAAACAATGGGGCACAGCTGAATGGCAGAATAACTCTGTTTCCTGTTCTTCTTACTCTGAATTCTCTAAGGAGCTCATTAGAGTGTTCGACCCTGTTCTCCCTAACCGTGAGGCCGCCAGGAGGTTGTATTCCTTAAGGCAGGGGGAGAGGAGTGTGACCTCGTTTATCATCGATTTTCATGTGCTAGCTGCAGACAGCAGTTGGAATCAGGAGGCATTAATGGAGGCCTTTATGGAAGGACTAAATGATAACATCAAGGATCAACTGGCTACCCAAGCGTATCCCAAGTCACTGAAGGAACTGGAAGATTTGGCTACTCAAATTGATCTCCGGCTCACTGAGAGGAGAAGAGAGAGACGACATAGGGAGGTTTTGTCTACCCCAGCCTCCCACTCAGGATCTCACCCCTGGCTGAGAAGCTCTCCTCCTGCTTCCCAAACATCCAATCCAGAGCCCATGCAATTGGGGAGAACTAAGGTTTCTCTGGAGGAGCGTTCTCGTCGTAAGCAACTAAACCTGTGTTTTTACTGTGGGGGACAGGGTCATGTTGCTGCCAAATGCCCGCTAAAAGGCCAGGCTCAGTAGAGGTGAGGGGTTCTCTACTGAGCCGTGGCTCTATGACTGTCTCCTCACTCTCCTTCCCTGCTAACATGTTGGTCTCCTCTGTTTCCCACCAGGTCTCAGTATTTATTGACTCAGGAGCAGATACTGAGTTTTTGGATAAATCCTTTGCCAAGAACCATGGCATCAAACTTCTCCCCGCACCTTCTAACCAGACTGTCCTCGCTCTGGATGGACACCAAATAAACAGCTCAAATGAGGTCACTGAGAAGGTTAAGCTAACTTTGGGGGGAAATCATCTGGAGGAGATTACGTTTGTTGTTATCCACTCCCCCCAGTTACCCATTATTCTGGGAGCTTCATGGCTTAAGAAGCACAATCCCCACATTGACTGGCAAGCTAAGGAGATCCTGGGTTGGTCCAGGTCCTGTTCAGCCACCTGCTTATCGTCTGCTAATTTTTTGCCTCTTCCAGACTACGCCATGGAAGAGACTTACCCGGATTTGTCCAAGGTTCCGTCAGAGTACCATGACCTCAAGGAGGTTTTTAACAAGTCTAGAGCCACAGCCCTCCCACCTCATAGACCTTATGACTGTGCCATCGAGCTTCTTCCAGGTACCTCACCCCCTAGGGGACGTCTTTACTCTCTATCTGTTCCAGAAAACCAAGCTATGAAGAAATATGTGGGGGACTCCCTAAAGGCTGGGATAATCCGAACTTCCTCCTCTCCTGCTGGGGCTGGATTCTTCTTTGTTGGTAAGAAGGATGGGTCCCTGAGACCATGTATCGATTACAGGGGGCTGAATGAAATCACTATTAAGAACCGGTACCCCCTCCCACTCATGAATTCTGCATTTGACCAGATTCAAGGAGCCCAGATTTTTACCAAGTTGGACCTACGCAATGCTTACCATTTGGTTCGCATCAGAGAGGGAGATGAGTGGAAGACAGCTTTTAACACCCCCACTGGCCATTATGAGTACCTGGTCATGCCTTTTGGGCTGACCAATGCCCCAGCAGTGTTTCAAGCCTTGGTGAATGACGTCCTGAGGGACATGGTGGGACAATTTGTTTTTGTATATCTAGATGACATCTTGATATACTCCCAGGATCTTGAGACCCACAAAAAGCATGTTCAGTCAGTCCTCCTGCGCCTACTCCAGAACCACCTTTTTGTCAAGGCAGAGAAGTGCGAGTTTCATAACACCTCTACTTCCTTCCTTGGTTTCATCATCTCTCCCAATAAGGTTATTGTGGATCCCTGCAAAGTTACGGCGGTTCTAGAATGGCCCACCCCTACTAATCGTAAACAACTACAAAGGTTCCTGGGGTTTGCTAATTTTTACCGCCGTTTTATCCGCAACTACAGTCAGGTTGCCGCCCCTCTTCATGCCATAACCTCATCTAAGGCTAAGTTTGTTTGGGGTAGTCAAGCAGAGGAGGCTTTCACCAAGCTCAAGACACTGTTCACCACTGCCCCAGTTCTCCAGTCCCCTGATACTGAGAGACAATTCATAGTGGAGGTTGACGCCTCTAGCACTGGGGTAGGTGCGGTCCTGAGCCAGAGGACCTCGGATGGTCGGATTCACCCTTGTGCTTTTTTTTCTAGGACATTGTCACAGGCTGAGCGTAACTATGATGTGGGGAATCAGGAACTCCTGGCAGTTAAATTAGCCCTTGAAGAATGGAGGCACTGGTTGGAAGGGTCAAAGGAACCGTTTCTGGTCTGGACTGACCATAAGAACCTGGAGTACTTGAAGTCTGCTAAGCGCCTTAACTCCAGGCAAGCCAGATGGGCCCTGTTCTTCGGACGATTTAACTTTGTCCTTTCTTTCAGACCCGGAATCAAAAACATGAAACCGGATGCCCTGTCCAGAATTCATGAACCTTCTGAGCTGATGACCAGTGGAGCTGGGGAGTTCATTCTCCCAGAGGCAGTCCGGTTGTCTGTTACTATGTTGGAACTGGAAGGAGAGGTCAGGGATGCCATAAGGGACTTTCCGGTTCCCACTTCATGTCCTCCAGATCGACTGTTTGTCCCAGACCGCCT